AGGTCCGAAACGTCAGCCTTCCTGCTCCTCTGATGCTGCTTGGCCTGCTGTGTTCATCCGGCTCTACACCTTGTTGTCTTAAACTCAACAGGGATTGTTTTGCAATTGTGTAAGAGCCCAAAACAAGCAGCCAAATCTAAGGTTAGATATGCCCTATGTTGCTGCCATCTTGCATAGAATCTATTCTGTAAGGAGGATCAGAAATGAAGCTAGATAAATTATCTTTCAATTCAGAGTAAATACGTTCTCTATGTGCAGGCTGTCCATCAGCTTCACTGAGAGAGGGCGATTGTTGTTCGGTGATTAATTCAAGTTCAGCTGCAAAGCAGAGCAAAATATGCAGCTGCTGTGATCTTTATACAACACTAGAATCCAAGGACATATGTGGCACTGCCTATTTACAATGCTTTTGTTTCTCTCCGTAATAACTAAGACAATAAATGTGGATTCCTGTCAAACTTCCTGTTTTCGTGTTCTGTGAAATTCACGTTTTACAAACCTAACCTTCCATACTAAGAAATAGTTTTCAACCAAACAAGTCAGAACTTAGCACATTTCGAAAATCTCTTAGATGAAATATAATATCCAGCAATGATTTAAAAACGCATGATCCCAGTTATGAAAATAATAGACAAACAGAATATTTGTTAAGATCTGATTGTATAGGCCATAATCATTTAAAGAATATAATATGTGAAGGTAAGAAAATACGTGACAAAACTCCAGTGTTCAATTGAACTTTTTTTCATGCAAACATAAATAACAAGCTAGAATGAATAAATAGGTATGCTGAATAAATAAGATAATGATTATAAATAATACGAACTTCAGTGTAAAATTCATTACAACAGAATTAACCCAGCATTATTATTTTTACTGTGGTTTTCACACTAATAGGCTTTTAATCATACTCTGTAAGGCATTTCCTTTTCACTCTGGATCTGGTTCCACACCCAACAGCTCAAGTCATATATCAATATGACCTCCTAGCCATAAAACAGGCATAGCTGATATTAACACACCACAAACACCAGATACACACAGACACTCCTTTGGTGTCTATGCCATAACTAAACTTTTCAGCTGTTTTTTTGGTCTACATGGCCCTACCCAATTCTCTAGAATTCTCTGGGCTTATGTTGACCTGAAAGTCTATTTTAAAACAAATGGCATCACTGTCCCCCACCCCCACCTCAATACATGCACATTGCCAGTAAACATCAGGATAGTTCAAAAAATCAGCAGTGGAATACCGTTGTACATAATATGTACAAACACACGTAATGATTAGTTCAAAGTTCAGATACCTGTATTCTATTGCAGTGAGTTCTCGATCAAAGCAGCAATGACACAGATGATAGGTTACAACAGAAGCTTCTACAGTTGCAATGCAGTGAGATCAGAAGCTATCCTTGAACTAGTTCAGTGTAAATCACTCATTCTCATCCTTTGCTCACAGCAACTCATCACCGAGGGAAAACAAAACTGATTGAAACACTTAAAGTATAATGTCCTAACAATGAAAAAGGGCACACTGTAATAATCCTTTTTAATTGAAGCTATACTGAAAATAAATCTTCTTAGTTTTGTTTCTTACAAATTAACACATTCAATATACTTTTTTTAAAAAAACTTTTGCTCAGCATTTGTTCAGGACTGGTTGCTGCTACCATGGGATGCCCTGCTGATGTCATTAAAACCAGAATCATGAATCAGACAAGAGATAAACAAGGAAGGTAAGTGTGATAAATTAAGTTTATATTCAGGTAAGAGTGCCCTTCTATGCATTTCTCGCTGGAATTCCAATCCCAGTATGGCATCCAGCACAAAGCAGAAATATCCGGTCCACTGGGAGTTGGGGATTATTTTCATTTCATTGATTCCAAGAGAGTTTCATGTTTGTTCATTTTTGCTACTAGGGGTTTATTATACACATCCACAGTGGATTGCCTGATGCAGACAATAAAGAGAGAAGGGTTGATGTCATTGTATAAAGGATTTCTGCCAACCTGGGCAAGGATGGTAAATGTTTTTGTATCATTTAAAAATATACCCTTTTAAAGCTTTTGTGGTTTTTGCATTAACGAGATTTTCATTTTTGTTTCAGGCACCTTGGTCATTGACATTCTGGCTCACGTTTGAACAAATAAGAAAAATCACAGGCCTCAATTCCTTTTGACACCATTTCAGAGCAGATTCTGATTTAACTTCAGTGAAGTTCCCTTTGAGGACTGTATCACCGAGCACCATCCAGTTCTGGGTAGGCTGGAATTGAAAAATGTTCCATTGAAATTAGTTTGTGGTGGTCATCCTGACTCTCAGTCTGGATATTGCAGTCAGCACAAATATTTAATGTTAACTTCACTTAAATTCAGTGTACTTTTGTGTCAGGAAGATTCAGCTGTATATCGCTATAAACTATTAAAATACTGAAGTTTTGTATTAATTTGATGGCAGTGAAAGATTATGAGGACATGTTATAAAACTAGAGAGGACTAAGCTGATTTACATCTGTCAGGACAGACTCACCAGAGCTGAGGCACGTTGGTCAATAGTCAGGAGGGACTTGTTCCGGGAGATCTCAATATTGACTCCATGCTCTATGAAGTCTCATGGCATCAAATTAAATACAACCACGAAAATTTCCTGCAACTGGAAGCAACATTAGATGAGGGAGCAAAGGCACAGAATGTATGCTTGGTGATGGACACAGAAGTTACTTACCTAGAGTGGGTCAGTAGTACTAACTGAACTGGCTGATTGCTTGACTGGGCATGATGCAGGTAGTGAGGAAACCAACAAGAGAACAAAGCCTATGGAACCTTGTCCTGACCACCTTAACTATTGTGGACATATCTGTTTGTGACATTACAGGTAAGAGTGATCACTGCACAGTCATTGTGGAGACATGCCACTGGCCATGACTTGCATTGTGGCTTGTAGCATGCTGCTGTAGCAAAGGGGTTAGATTCAGAACTGACTTAGCAGCTTAACATTGTGCATCAATGAGATTCTTTGGGACATCGGCAACAACTGAATTGTATACAACCACAACTTAACCTCATAGGCCTCTACCATTACCATTAAACCTTGGGATTGACCATGGTTCAATGAAGAGTGCAGGAAGTCACTCCAGGAGTAACAGGCACTCCTAAAAATGAGCTGTTTACCTGGAAATGCTACAACAAAGGTCTATTTCAAGCTAAGCAGGAGGAAGTACCTTGCAATAGACAGAGCTTAATGATCCCCAATCAACAAATTAGATCAAAGTTCCGCATTCTTGCCACATGTATTAGTAAATGGTGGTGGACAATCAAAACAACTAATAGGAAGAGTAAGCTGCGCAAACCTCTCCATCCTCAATGAACTTTAAACTGTGACAATTATAGTAAAAACATATTATCAGTATTCAGCCTTAATCATTTGATTGCCATACCTTAGACCTATCCTGGGCTCAAAATGGTTTTAAAAAGGGCAGACCTACAATGGTTGCTTTGATTGCCTGATCTGGTTAAGGCAAGTTCATGAATCCATCAATAAATAAAGATCAGTCCAAGCTGACATTTGGATCTGTGTCTCCTTTCTGTAAATTGCAGACTAGCCTCCAGAATTCATACTGAATTATATTTCAACAGCTGCTTTTGAGCAACACAATGGATGTGTAAGCAAGAACTGTATGGTACACACTTTCGCCCTTTTATGTCTCACTCTGCCTCTCTAAACCCAAATCAGTGCCCAGTATAAAAGCAACTTGGGAGAACCACCATTTACTAAGAACCCAAGATCTACAAACTTTATCACTGTAGCACAATACAAGTCAATAATTGAACAACTGACCTCAGGTTTCAAATCTAATAGTTTATCAACTCAAAACTTTTAAACTCCTTTACCTTCATGTCTGGGTTTGACACCCTTCCTTCTTTATAAGTGAATTACCTTTGTTTGTGCGTGTGTCTGATGTTGCATTCCTACTATTCTTTTTGGGGTCATGGTCATAAAATTCTTCTTTCACTTAAGCAAACCTTATAATTTGGTTCCTTCATTTTATTTTCTATTATGTTCTAATTGAAATGAGATATCTGCATTCTAAAAACGGAAATATAAATATTTGTTGTGACTGACCGGGAGGGGTTAAAAAGAAGGGAGCCAATTTCCTGCTTCTCACCTCATTACGGTAAGCACATGATCAGTAAGCTTCACTTAGCCGGGAAGGAACTATCACTTCTCACGGTGGGGGCAGCACGACGGCTAAGTGGTTAGCATTGCTGCCTCACAGTGCCAGGGACCCTGGTTCGATTCCACCCTTGGGCAACTACCTGTGTGAAGTTTGCACGTTCTCCCGGTGTCTGCGTGGGTTTCTGCCGGGTGCTTCAGTTTCCTCCCACAGTTCAAAGATGTGCAAGTTGGGTGGATTGGCCATGCTAAATTGCCTATGGCGTTCAATAATGTGTGGGGTAGGTGCGTTAGCTATGGGAAATACAGGGTTAGGGGGTGAGTCTGGGTGGGACGTTCTTCAGAAGGTTTTGTGTGGACTTGTTGGGCCAAATGGCCTGTTTCCACATGGTGGGGATTCTGAGCTATGTGAGACAACCTGAGTGAGTATATAGTTTGGGCATTTTGGAGCAATGTGGGAATTCAGTGTAGAGGGGAAGAGGTGCTTTTTGCTTGCTTTTGTAATTCATAGTTTATAAGTTTTATTTTAACAAGATGAATTAAAGCCTAGGATTGAGAGCCCAGCACAGAGTGATATCACAGGAAAACCATAAGTTCATTGGTTGGTAATAGCTGGTAATGTGACTATCTATTTGTAGGTTACTTTCAGATTGAAGGTAAATGGGAGAAAGATTACAAACTAAAAGACTAGCAGCATATTTAAGACAAAACAAAGTAAGAACTAAGTAAATAAAGTGAAGGTGTAGAGTCAGGTGATGTGTTGTATCTGCATGATGAGGGAACTGGTGCACCCCATTATAGTTCACAGTGACCACATTTGTCGCAAGTGATAGACGTTTGAGGAACCCTGACTCAGAGTTGATGATCTGGGGTCTGAGCTTTGAATACTGTGGAAGGGGGAGAGTTACCTGGACACTGTTTCAGGAGGCAGTCACATCCTTTTCGATTAGCTACCTCGAATTTGGTCAGTGGTCAGAGATAGGAGGCTGTGACTATGAGCAAGGCAGGTGGAGGGATCCAGGAGGCAGTGTCTAACAGGTTTGTGATTCTTTGCTGTCTGTGTAGGTGGGAGTGGGATCTGTAGGAACGTCGAGCAAACTGACCAGAACATCATGAGTAAAGGGAGCCGTTCAAGAGGGGAGAGAAAAGAGAAATGAACACAAAAAGAAATGTGCAGCAGACATTTTTTTGGAAAGAACACATTGAAGTTATTAGCACTGCATAGATATTAATTGCATTTGGAATGATGTTACTATTTTTAAGTAAGCATAACAAAATATTTCCATTCAGTAAGGTCCTGTAAATTGCACTGAAATTGAATATTTTTCAAATGGCTAGATAGGTGTGGCTCTAACACTTAAAACCATTGAGGACAAATCAGCCCGTTTCATTGTCATTCCTTCCACCATTGGCAGTGCCAGCTAGAAGATGCATTGCAGGAACTTGCCAATGCTCCTTCAACAATATCTTCCAATCTTTCAATCTTTACTGCCCAGACGTAGCAGTTGCATGAGAACAGACCTGCCAGTATCCCCAAATCCCCCATTGTCCTTAACTTGCAAGTACATCATTGTCCCTTCAATATCATCAGATTAATACACTGAAGTTCCCTGTTCAATACAACTGTGCATATATTAGTATTGCAAGTATCATAGCAGTTCAGAAAGGCAGCTAATCTGAGTCCGTTTGCTAAACAAGCCATATAAATTACCAGTTCTTTGAAAAGTCCTTGGCCACTGTCTCTCTCTCTCAGCAACATTCAAATGTAAACGTAGTACAATACTGCACATCCATATTAAATTATCATAATTCCAAATTCAGTAGTTACTTCTATTGTGAATAAATGTGAAAGTGACATTAAAACAAGACGTTTAAAGGATGCAATCTCAATAGATTTCCTCTCGAGTAGCAACTTTTTGAAGATATATCCATGTACCTTACTAGCTCCTAGTAATTGGTAAAGCACACATCTTCCATTAACATCCAGTCACTTGGATCTTTTGGAGGGTAAAATGTCACCAATAAAGTCCAATACAACATTGGCCTCTTTGTAGAGAATATAAAAGGTTAAGTCTTCCATTTTATGGATTAACTGGTTCAACATTTTTCTTAACTTTTTACATCATTCAAAGTACTTTAAATTGAGAGTAAGTAACTGTCGTCCTCCTTTTACCTTCCCTCTTAAGTAGAACCCTGCCAATGAAAGTACAAGTCCAACTGGAATTATTATGTTCAGGTTAGTAGTTATTACAGAACAAGAGGAAAAATAAATGTGGCATAGTTATATTCATTCAAGCACAAAGTTCCAGCTTCAGTCTCAGTTTAGTCTGACTTATTTCATTCACTGTGGCAGTCAACACTAGTCTGAGTGATTAATGTACAGAAGGGATGGGAAGTATTTGGAGAACACAACATCAAAGACTGAGGCCAAAATCTCTGCAGAAATACCTGCTATAAGCCTGTGCAATTCCTATATAAACATAATACTAGGTTGTATAAACTGGAATAGAGTATAAATTTATGGAGATTTTGTTTTTGCTGCATTAGACTTTTATCAGATATTTTGTCATCCTTAAGACTGACCAGGCAAATAATAAAAGATTCCAAGTATCACAATATATGGTATAGTTTAAGAAAAGAGCTTTTTCTTTGGAAAATATGTAATCTAAATCTGAAGTACCATGCATAGTATTAGTCACCTCATTTAAGGAAGGATGAAAGTGCATTGGGACACAGTTCCAAGAATGTTTACTAAATTGATACCTGGAATGAGAGTTGTTTAATGAGGCAAAGTTGGAGAGTCTAGACTTGTATCTGCTGGAGTTTAGAAGAATAAGAGGTAACTTGATTGAAATATAAAAGCTCCTGAGGAGTCTTGAAAGGGTAGATGTGGAAAGCATGTTTCTCTTTGGATTGAATCTAGAGCTAGGAGTCACGTTTATAAGTCAGTGTCACTCATTAAAACAGATGAGCTAATTCTTTTTTCCCTCAGAGGATCGTGAGTCTTTGCAATTCTCTTCCTGAAAAGATGTTGGAAGTAGAACCCTTGAATATTTTTAAAGGCGAGGTAGATAACTTCTCATCCCTTGGCTTAATGAAAATCTATTGGGGTAGGCGGCAATTGGATTTGAGATTACAATCCAATCAGCAATGGGGTAATGGAAAGACTTGACAGGCTGAATGGCCTATTCCTGTTTCTAACTTGTATATTCATGCGTGAGTAAAGTCCTGAAATTATGAAGGGAATTGCCAAGTTGATTTAAACAAATATCTTATTTTAATGAAGAGCTTACGCTTTCAATCAAATAAGTCAGCAATCTTGAAATTTTGAAGCAAATATTATAAGTTCAAATCCCAGCATGGCAAATTGTGAAACTGACTTCAAAAAGTAAGATCCAGAACAAAAAAAGTTAGCAGATTGATTGGCTTTTTTACGACAGTTCACTCAAGTCCTTCAAGGAAGCAAGTCTATTAGCCCTATCTCACCTGACCTATACATGATTGCAGTACAATACCTTGGGATTAACTATGAATTCCCCTTTGTGGTAGTTACCTGCAAGTCACTCACTTCTCCCAACAGTTTAAGAAAATCTTGATAACCTAATTTTGGAAGCACAAACAGAAGGTACTGTACAGCAGCCAGAAAGGTTTACTACAGTTAAGAAAAAAACAAAGAAAAATGGTTCACTTATTGCAGATATATTGTTATTACAAAACTAAGAGTGTTGCAGAAGAAGGTATCTCTCGCTGATACTTAAGGCAGGGGGTTACCAAAGGAAAGCTGTCGTCAATTCACATCAAGAACTTTAATACAATTGATCAATGACGCATTAGATGAAAAATGCCAAGTTCTACAATGTGGTCACACAATCTGTGTTGATTCCCCTACTGTAGAAGAGATCACACTTTTGAGCAGTGAATACAGTAGATGAGAATGGAAGAAGTACAAAAAAAACTCTGCTTCACCTGGAAGGAGTGATTGGGACCTAAGACTTTGAGGAGGTAAAGAGGTAGGTGTTACATCTCTAAGACTGAAGTTTAAATTAAAGTGGCCCAGAAATCATGTGTTGGGTAGATATGATTTTCTCACTTTATACAGTCTTACCTTCGTTGGAACCTACACACTAAAGAATGTTAGCAGCCTGTTTGTTTACAGAGAGCGTCACAGTCAAACTTAATTTACCGTCCATAATTGCAAACATTTGGACAGATCACTGAATATTAACTGAGGTGATAACTAAAGGGGAGATGGACATATGGGATTCATGAGATACTTAACGTAGAGTATAGGTGACTCAAAGCTTGCCTGTGAGACATGAATCAATGGAGCAATGTAATCAAGAGGTGGATGAAGGTTTGGGTTGTGGGAGAGACAATGAGTCATACGA